AGTGTCTCGGACATGCGGTGGCCTGAACTCCAAGTAGCCTGTCCCGGGCCGTGGGCGGGTTTCAAGCAGCCACGGGCGACGGGCCAATTCTACATTCCTATCAATGTTGGGCCCGCCCCGGGCCGCCCATGGGCCGCGGGCGGGTTTCGCGTCGCCACAAGATGCGGGCCAATTTTACACTCCTATCAATGTTAATGTTAACATGTCAATGTGAATATTCACATTGTCACGGGTCGGGCCAAGCCCGCCTCAGGCTGCAGTCGGGCTTCGCTCACGGGCTGCGGGCCAATTTTACACTCTTATCAATGTGAATGTTAACATGTCAATGTGAATATTTACATTGTCAATGGGCTGGGCCGGGTCCGCCCCGGGCTGCGGCTGGGTTTTTGGCCGCCCATGGGCCGCGGGCCAATTTTATACTCTTATCAATGTGAATGTTAACATGTCAATATGAATATTCACATTGTCAACAGGTCGGGCCGGGCCCGCCCCAGGCCGCCCACGGGCTATGAGCGGGTTTCGGGCAGCCACGGGGCATGGGCCAATTTTATACTCTTATCAATGTAAATGTTAACATGTCAATGTGAATATTCACATTGTCAACAGGCTGGGCCGGGCCCGCCCCGGGCTGCCTACGGGCTGTGGGTGGGTTTTGGGCAGCCATGGGGCGCGAGCTAATTTTACACTCCTATCAATGTGAATGTTAACATGTCAATGTGAATATTCACATTGTCAATGGGTCGGGCCGCGGGCGGGCTTTTGGTCGCCCACGGGATGCTGGCCAATTTTATACTCTTATCAATGTGAATGTTAACATGTCAATGTCAATATTCACATTGTCAACGGGCCAAGTCGGGCCCGCCCTGGGCCGCGGGCGGGCTTTTGGCCGCCCATGGGCCGCGGACCAATTTTATACTCTTATCAATGTGAATGTTAACATGTCAACATGAATATTCACATTGTCAACGGCCCGGACCAGGCCCACCCCGGGTCGCTCATGGGCCGCGGGCGGGTTTCACGTCGCCACAGGATGCGGGCCAATTTTACACTCTTATTAATGTGAATGTTAACATGTCAATGTGAATCTTCACATTGTCAACGGGCCGGGCCCGCCCCGGCTCGCAGACGGGTTTCGGGCCGCCCACGGGCCAATTTTACATTCCTACCAATGTGAATTTTAAAATATGAATGTTCACATCATAAATTGCTAACCGTTCAAAAAATATTTATAAGGGTATCAAAATTAAATATAAGGGCATAAGTGTCCAAGAAAATAGTGTAAATTAAGAAAAAGGACTTTATGGAATAAAACTATACATACATAAGACTAAATGGGTTAAAAAATTCCTTCATGGACTTCTTGGGTTAAAACACTTCTAAATGGGATTTATCAATAATTTTCCCTATAAAATTTTGTGATTAAATTACATTAATTTATAGTAGGGTATATATGGTATGCACCCTCAAGGGGTGCACACCCTAGGCCTTCCCGTGTCATATAGCCAATTATCTTTTATTTTTAATTGAATTACTTGTGAAACTTTATGAGCATAAAAACATTAGTAATATTTTTAATTATTACATAGGTTCATGAAAAGTGAATAATATGTTTAATTAAAACCAGTCTTCTATAATTTTTTATTAAGTTAATTGATCTATATTGAGTAATATTTTAATAATCATTTAATTTCTCAAGAAAAATAATATACAAGTCTACTTTGTAGACTCACTTTCTAGACCTAATGTTGTCTAAATAAGATGACCAATCATCTATCGGAATCTTTCTTAATATTTAGAGTAAATTACACATTATCCCTTCAACTATTGTCATTATCACTTTACTCCCCTCAACTAAAAATTTTAACAACTAACCTCCCTCATCTACCATATATTTTTTTTTTTTCAATTTGGACCTTTATGACTAAAAGTACCCTTTCATCAATAGGATAAATTACACTTTACCCCCATGAATTATCACCTATGAAGCACGGACACGTCCCTGAGGCTTGCGTATGAGTGTCAGACACGCTGTGGACACGTGTCCGACACTCTCCCCTATGTGTCCTCCTTTTTTTTCAGAATTTTTCAGAGTCGGACACAAGGTTGGACACGCGAGGACACGATTCAGATACGCAGGTGGATCGAAGAAGCCCTAGAACTGTTGGAGAGCAGAAAGAGAGAGAGCCAGAGCCAGAGACAAATCGAGGGGAGAGAGAGGGAGATAGATCGAGGGAAGAGAGACAGATCGAGGGAAGAGAGAGACAGATCGAGGACGAAGAGAACAAACCCTAACCTATTTTTCTTCTCTCTTCTGCGCCTCTGTTCTTTTGCCTTCGTCTTCGTCTTCCTGTTCCTCTGTCTTCGTCTTCTGTCTCCTATCTTATTTCGTCTCTCCTTCTGTCTCTTTCTCTTTCTTCTCTTCTCTTCATCTGATTTCATTTACTCTCTCTCTCCACTCCACCCTTTTCTTTTTATTCTCTCTTTTTTTTTTCTTTTGTTTTCTTATTTATATCCATGTTTTTTTTTTCAAATTTATAAAATAAATTATTTTTATTTTAAAAATATTAATTTTTATTAAAAAAATTTAGATAATATATTTATTAATTTTATTATTATTGTAATTTTATAAAAATTAATATTTTTTTAAATTTTAGATATCACTATTTTGTCAGTAATTCAAAGACTGACTTTCTATTATTTGGACGTGAATGTGAAATCAGTTTGCATAAATTAGCATGTTTTTCTTTCTCTTGCTTTTGTAAATCAAAATTGAAATTGCTTTCTAACAGCCATTAGAATCAATATTGAAGTTTTCTTTAGAATTTTTCCTGTTAACTACAATCCTCTTCCGTATTTGCAGGAATAGGCCACGCCATGGAAAACATTCGTTCAGCCATTGAAATTGGGAAGAATTTGTGTGATTTAATTGGACCATGGATTGAATATCACAATAACCTTGATACTAACATGGAAACTCTCAAAAGGAAGACAGAGCAATTGAATGGCCGAAACAATGACATAAATGAAGAAGTGAATTATGCAGAGCAGCGGTCAAGGAAAAGATGAAGGGTTGAAGTTAAACTTTGGCAAGAAGATGTGCGAAGGATAACAGATGATGTCCAGACTTTGGAAAGACAAGAGCCAGAAGTACGAGGATTGAAGAATGCCTTCAAACGAGCAGAGTTGGGAAAACGTGTAGTGAAGACGATTAAAGAGGTGGAAAAACTGCATGAAAATGGTGGATTTTGTTATGGTTTGCTAATTGATGATCCAACTTGTGGACATGCCATACCAGCAGCGGAATCTTTGGCTGAAACCACAAGTGTAAGGAACAAGGAGAAAATTTGGAATTTCTTGATGGATGATGCGGTTAGAAAAATCGGTGTTCGGGGAAGGGGGGGAGTTGGCAAAACAACCATCATGAAACACATCAATAATCAATTTTGGGTTGAAACTTGTACCTTTAATGATGTTATTTGGGTTACAGTATCTAAAGCATTTAAGATAAAAAATCTACAAAGGCAGATAGCTAAGAAACTGAATCTTGGTCTTTCCGATTATGAGGATAAATTACGTACAGCATCAGAAATACAAAACATGCTTTCCCAAAAAAAGAGGTATGTGCTCATCTTAGACGATCTTTGGAAAGCATTTCCTCTGGAGGAGGTGGGTATTCCAGAACCATTTGAATTTTTCCAAAATACCTATATAAAGTGAAGTTTGCTAGTGGTGTTGACACATTTGTGTCTCATATTTTAGGTTTTTCCAAAATTCCCCAATATTTGCGTTGTCTCACTATTATAAAGTAAGGGCTGCTTGTTGGTGGTATTGTGTTGACACATTTGTGTCTCCTATTGTCATATTTTGGGTTTATGTCTCATATTTTTTTGTAAAAATTAGGTATAGAGGAGAAAGGGTCTCGAACCCATGACCATAGGTTTAATAAAAAAACTTTTACCACTTGAGTAACTCATATTGTATGTATATATATATTTTTTGGTTATTATTCTTATAATATTATTTTTTTTCAAACTACACACGCATGCTATACGTATATTTTCTTTGTTATTATTCTGATAATATTATTAATTTTTTGAATTGCATATGCATCGAGTGTGCGGACTACATATATGTTGACTCTATCTTGTTTTCCACTACATTCAGCATATGTTTCTGAAGCAGCATAGTGAGCTTCGGAAAGTTATTCATTACTCCTGAAACATATCTAGGTGGTGCTCCAAATGTGTAGTTATTGGTTTAAATCATAGGATCCACTACTTTTGTGTTAGAATTTTAGGAGACAACATGTTAAGTGTTAATTTGGTAATGGAATAGTTCTTGCTTTTCTTTTTCTATTATTTGAAGTTTGGTCATCAATTTTTTTTTTGTTTGGAAAAGACGTTAAAAGAGTGTTAGAGTTTGGCCAAGAAATTGTAAAGACATCACATCGGTTCTTCAAATTTTTTTTTTTTATCTCTCGCATTATATGAATTATTTATTTTGATGTTATTTATGATTTAATAAAAAATATAAACGAAGTTGAATTTCTATAAATTAATTAACTTAATTGCACTTTTAATAATAACAATTAAAAAAAAACCTTAAATTTTCGTGCAACTTGGGCAACTCGATCAATTCGCACCTAACTTGGGTCGAGCTTCGGCAGATAAACTTTGATATAGATCTTATTTTTGTTTGTGTTTCAAATCATCCGCTAATTTACAATCAATGTCATAATAGAAATTATTGAACACCATAAATGTTGGTTCATTGTTACTAGCTATTTATTTAGCACAGTCACTATTTTGTCAGTAATTCAAAGACTGACTTTCTATTATTTGGACGTGAATGTGAAATCAGTTTGCATAAATTAGCAGGTTTTTCTTTCTCTTGCTTTTGTAAATCAAAATTGAAATTGCTTTCTAACAGCCATTAGAATCAATATTGAAGTTTTCTTTAGAATTTTTCCTGTTAAGTACAATCCTCTTCCGTATTTGCAGGAATAGGCCACACCATGGAAAACATTCGTTCAGCCATTGAAATTGGGAAGAATTTGTGTGATTTAACTGGACCATGGATTGAATATCACAATAACCTTGATACTAACATGGAAACTCTCAAAAGGAAGACAGAGCAATTGAATGGCCAAAACAATGACATAAATGAAGAAGTGAATTATGCAGAGCAGCGGTCAAGGAAAAGATGAAGGGTTGAAGTTAAACTTTGGCAAGAAGATGTGCGAAGGATAACAGATAATGTCCAGACTTTGGAAAGACAAGAGCCAGAAGTACGAGGATTGAAGAATGCCTTCAAACGAGCAGAGTTGGGAAAACGTGTAGTGAAGATGATTAAAGAGGTGGAAAAACTGCATGAAAATGGTGGATTTTGTTATGGTTTGCTAATTGATGATCCAACTTGTGGACACGCCATACCAGCAGCGGAATCTTTGGCTGAAACCACAAGTGTAAGGAACAAGGAGAAAATTTGGAATTTCTTGATGGATGATGCGGTTAGAAAAATCGGTGTTCGGGGAAGGGGGGGAGTTGGCAAAACAACCATCATGAAACACATCAATAATCAATTTTGGGTTGAAACTTGTACCTTTAATGATGTTATTTGGGTTACAGTATCTAAAGCATTTAAGATAAAAAATCTACAAAGGCAGATAGCTAAGAAACTGAATCTTGGTCTTTCCGATTATGAGGATAAATTACGTACAGCATCAGAAATACAAAACATGCTTTCCCAAAAAAAGAGGTATGTGCTCATCTTAGACGATCTTTGGAAAGCATTTCCTCTGGAGGAGGTGGGTATTCCAGAACCAACCAGAGATAACGGATGTAAACTAGTGTTAACTACGCGATCGTTAGAAGTGTCTAGCAGATGGAATGCGTAAATGTTGAAGTGGAGTGTATCACGGAAGCTGAAACACTGAATCTGTTTATGAGAAATGTTAAAGAACATTAGACAGTGCTTGATCCACAAGTGAAAGAAACTGCAGAAAGAGTTGCCAAAAAATGTGCGCGTCTGCCCCTTGTAATTGTTACTGTAGCTAGAAATATGAAAGGAGTGAATGAAATTCACGAGTGGAGAAATGCAGAGCAGATTATGGACAAAGAGAAAGGGCTATTTAAGCGGCTTAAATTTAGTTATAGTTGCCTAAAAGATGAACAAGCACAACATTGCTTCTTGTATTGTGCATTGTATCCAGAAGACTGTAGCATTGGTAGGGAAGAATTGATAGAGTATTGGATTGCTGAGGGACTAATACGTGAGATGGGCAATAGAGAATCAATGTACAGCAAAGGTCACACTATATTGAATAAACTCATTAATACTTACTTGTTGGAAGAAGGTGAATGGAAAGAATCTGTGAAGATTCATGATTTGATAAGAGATATGGCTCTCAAAATAACATCAACTAGTCCTCGATTCATGGTCGGAGCTGGTGAGGGATTAAAAAGAGCTCCACAGAAAGACTGGTCTGACGATCTTGAAAGGGTTTCCTTAATGCGGAACGATATTGAAGAACTTCCTTCTGAACCACCCATTTGCCCTCACCTCACCACCTTCCTATTTCAACGCAATTGGTCAAAAGTACTTCAGATTCCAGGTTCTTTCTTTATGCGTATGCCTCGTCTCAAGGTGTTGGATTTGTTCGACACTGCCATAGAGTCTCTGCCAAATTCCATCTCCATGTTGGAGAATTTGCATCAACTGTTACTACGTCATTGTTATGAACTAAAATATGTGTTGTCACTGGAGAAACTAAAGGCATTGGAACATTTTGAACTAACTCATAGTCAGATTGAAGAAGTACCCCAAGGTATAGAAGAATTGGTTAATCTCAGAAAGCTTGAACTCTCGGAGAATGACATCCTAGGTATGTCTCCTTGCCGGAAGTTATGTAGACTCATGCAACTCCTTTACCTCAGAATTCAGGGTACAAAAGCAAAACTGTCAGCAAAAGAGCTGTTATGCTTGAAGCAATTAAAAGATCTCAAGGTTTAGTTTCACAATGTGCAAGAGTTTACAAAGTATGTGAAATCTGTGCAATGCAAAAGTTTGGAAAGGAACAACCTTGAGGTGGGAATTGTTGAAGAGGAAGTAAGTTGTAACTACAACTCTATATATTTTTCAAGTACTGGAGTAGAAGCCGTAGTTCTCCCCCGCGACATAGAGGACTTGAGAATTAGAAGATGGGACAATCACATTAGCTTAACAGATATTCAGTCGTTAAGGGATGCAAGAGGTTTAAGAAAATTTTCAATCGAAGAGTGTGATGGCCTTGAATCCGTCTTTTCATCATCATCATCATCATCATCATCATGCTTTTCAGAAGACCACATCCCGCTAACAAGGGTTGAAGAATTAGAGTTTTGGAATTTACCCAATTTTAGGGTACTCTTTGACAGAGTTATTCCACCACACAACATTTCATTTAACCTTAAGATATTGAAGTTGTGGGAATGTCCGAAAATGGAGAGTATTTTCCCTGCCCTGTTGTTGCAGAACTTCCCAAACCTTGAGGAACTTCGAGTGTATGAGTGCGAGAATGTGGAGGAGATAATAGTAGAAGTAGAGACGAGTGATCGAGGGGGGCATTGTGAAGATGATGGCAACACAATCACACTCCCAAATTTAAAAAAATTATATCTACAAAACCTACCAAGATTGAAGAGCATATACAAGGGCATAATGGTCTGTGAATCTCAGCAAGCAAATTATATACTGCACTATCCCATGTTAAGGAGATTGGCTATTTCTTTGCACATGAATGAGGATGGTGAGCAAGCTTCTGCACCACCTGCTCTTCAGCGAATTCGTGGAGAAGAAGAATGATGGGAATCTCTGGAATGGGATAATCCCCTCACTAAAACCACTCTTCAACCTTTCTTTACCAGGATTAGTTTCCCAAAAGAGGCGGGTTAAAGGATCTTCCGAGATTTTAATCCATTTTATCTCTCATAATTTTTTTTTAAAAAAAGTAAAAAAAAAAAGGGTCAAAAAACCAACTTTGCAACGTCCTGCAAGATTTTTTTAAGGGTGAAAATTACGAGGGTTCTTATATTGTAGTTTTTTTTTTTATTTATTATTTTGGTTTTATAATTTCAATAGATTTGATTTTAATCTTAAATTTATGACTTTGATTCAATTTGATCCAATTAATTATAATTCTTAACATTTTTTTATAAAAAAATACACATATAAATGGTATGTGTCATATTTTTTACAACAAAATTATAAACTTACTCAATTCAGTGATTATTTTTCTTTAAAAACACTAATGAGATTATTAATTGAACTAAATTGACACAAAATCTTAAATTAAAGGTCAAAATAAAATTAATTAAAAATATAGGGATCAAAATGATAAAAATAACTAAATATATTTGCCTTTTTTTTTTTTTTTAAATATGGCAAACTGTATTTAAATAAAAATGTCTACAAAATTTTAAATCAACCCTACATGTAGCGAAGTCACCGCAACACATTGCATTAACTATTTATTTATGATTTGTGAATTTTATGAAAGTTTCAAATAGCTAGGCTTGAATTAATAAATGTGATAAATTAAATAGATTATGAATATCAGATTGATCTAATTCTTTTATGTAAATGGTATATACGAAGAATCTTACAAAATAAATAATTTGAATTATCAAAATAAAACTATAGTGGTGACCACATCTAATCCATATTATGAACTAAAGGGAATCCTGGTCTCACATATAGGACATTGTTATGTAAGATTAGATTTTGTGGATTCTCTAATAAAACACGCTTAAAATTGTGCAGATGCTTGTAGGAATAAATTTCAATAATCTTATAACAAAATGTGAGAAAATAAAGTTAAATTAAAAAATAATAATAAACTCAATTTGCTAGATACTAAATCTGTAAGAATAATTTTTTGTGACAAGTAAATTTCTTTTTGTTTATATAAAAGGATTACCAATATTAATGTGCCAATAACACAAGCAATCACATATCATCACTCATCAGAGAAATACAATAAGAGACATTTTAACAAAAAGACTAGAGGTTGAAAAAGCATTTTAAATACACTTCAAAATTTCTAAAACCAATAAAAATCCTTAGTCAATCTTTTTTGGAGTTGAATGGAAATATTATATAAAGGGCGTTCAAAATAGTGATACTCAAATAAGAATATAAAACTAAATGATAAATTATATTTATGGTTAAGTATGTAACTATTAACTGAAGTACATAACGTTTTCTTTACACTCACGAATCACAAAAAATTATGTTGTTTTAACTTTATTAATTGAAAATTTCCTTTTTTTGAATAATTGATTCCCTTAGTTGTTGCAGTAGTTAATTATTGAGCTATCAAATTGATCGTCTTCCTCTTGATTACAGATCTAGAAGAATAGTGTGGTGGAAGTTATTATTGGGATAGAGTGCTACAAGTAGAAGCTATTTTGAATTGTTTTGTTGCGATGTTAATTTAAATTATAGAACTCTTGTTTGCTTTGATGGAGGCAATGGAACTCTAGGTTTGGCATGCTCTAAACATTAAACTAGCTAAACTGAATTTGTGGATTGTTGTTGAAACTTTTGGTATTGTGAATTAAAGAATTACTAATTGTGATTTCATCTCCTGATTGCCATGATTATTTTGTGGAATGAAATTGAATTGAGTTTCTCACCATCTCTTTTCTGCATCCTCCCAGGGTGCTGTAAGTCTTATAGGTGTGTGTAGACACCCCATTTTTGACCGTCCTCAAGACTTGGACGTCACCGTTCGAACACTCGGTGATCATCATTGTTTGTGTTCGTCTTGAGTTCCCGGAGGTTTCAGCTACGCCCCTTGCCTCAGGATCTCTCGACTCGACTGTTTTGTGTTTGGTTTTGCACTAAACACTTGTGTTTTTGCTTTGGAGGGCAGGGAATGGCTTGTTGGCCATCCCCACACTCCACCGGCCATGGCTTGAGGCCACCGGCTGTGTTTTGTTTCCACCGGCCAATTATTTGGCCGACCGGCACTCGGGATGGTCGACCGGCCATTTATTTTGGTCAAATTGCATTTTTGGCTAGCCGACCACTGTTCATCTGCTTTTGGAAGATATTTTGTGCCAGCTGTGATAGCTGGCACCCACTTTGCTCCCCTCCATACACGTGTATGGAGGGATCTCCCTCTTGACTAGCTTACTTGAGAAGCTTTACAAGAGTGAGCTTCTATAAAGAGGAGACCTCTCCTCCCTCTTCCAGTGTTAGAAAAAAGAAGCTCCAGAGGTCTGGTTCTTTCTAGGGTTAGAAGTGTGTCTATTCTATCTCTATACTTTCCTCTCATTGTGTATAAGTGTGTGTTTATTCATAGTTTTGCACATAAACATCTACAATTACACCTTCCCTTGATTGCTGAGGCTTTAGAGGGTTGATCTTGGACCTTTTGAGCTGGTTTTGATCCAAGAAGAGGTCTGACCTTGTGATCTTTGAAGTGTTCTTCAAGGGTGAGTGTTCTTGCCTTTTATTCCCCATTTTTGCATAGCTTTTTTGCCTATCTTGAAACTATTTTTAGACTTTGCATATAACTAATAAAAGTCTTGTTTTTACTTGCTTAAAATAGTTGTTTAAGGGTGTTTTGTTGTTTGGGGTTGTTTGACCCCTCTTAGGGCTTGTTTGGCCCCATTTTTGTGCTATTTTGGTTAGCTCCGGGACCACTTTGTTTGGGCCTCCTCACCACTGAAATCTTGAGGGATTTCAGTGGTGAGGATGGTGGTTTAAGGTCCTAAGAAGGAGAGGGCCACCCCCTCTCCTTGTTGTCTTCAAAATGTGTCATTTAAGCCTCATGTGTGAGCACCTTTTTTGAACTCATGTTGGCCATGTTTCAGTAGGTATTTGGTAGTATTTTTCCATGTTTTACCTCTGTTTTTACTTGGTTTAGACACACCATGCTTGCTTAGCATACATGTCTTGTAATGCCATGAATTGCCTTAACATGCTTTGTGCTTTGAGCCTGGTTTCTAGCATGTTTTTGGCTTAGCTTTGTGAAGCTTTTATGCTTGCTTTAGCATGCTAAAGGTCTGTTTTTGGTCATTTGAGTTGTCCATGCCTTGCTTTGTATAGCTACCATGTAACCTCTCTTGTATGCCTTAAGCATTGACTTGTAATGCCATGAATTGCCTTAACATGCCTTGTGCTTTGAGCCTTGTTTCTAGCATGTTTTTGGCTTAGCTTTGTGAATCTTTTATGCTTGTTTTAGCATGCTAAAGGCCTGTTTTTAGTCATTTGAGTTGTCCATGCCTTGCTTTGTATAGCTACCATGTAACCTCTTTTGTATGCCTTAAGCATTGACCCCTCTAGCATGCCATCCTTGCATCATTTCAGTGGTTTGGAACCACTTGCCATGCCATTTCAGTCCTTGTGGTGTGCTTGTATGCTTGCATTTGATGCCCTTTTAATGTGTTAGAGGTTTGGCGTTTCATGCTCCATGTTTGTGCTATTGTGTATGCCTCTAGGATTAGATCATTTAGATGCCATCTAAGTGGTTTTTGGGGCCTACTCTTGCATGATTTGAGACTGTTTTGATTCACTTTGATCATTTGTTTCATGTGTCACATGATCATGGTTTAAGTCATTGGGCTAATTCCAAGCTTTTATGCATGTTTTGCTTGTTTTGATTAGTTGGTTTGGCACCTCTTTTTCATGATTTTCAGAGCTTATATTGCTTGCCATATGCCCATGTTTAGCCTCTTTTAAGTATGCTTAGAAGTTGCTTCTTTATGCCTAAATGATGAACCATGTTTGCATGCATGATTGTATGTTTAGATACTTGGTTCAGGACATTTTGTTGCATGCTTGAATGGTGTTGCATTTGGCATGCATTTCTTGCTAAGTTGTCTAACATGTTATATGCCTTGCATGTGTGCATGTTGACATTAAACTTTGCATGCTTGTTAGTTGCATCCTTGCATCTTCATTTGTATGCTCATGTTGCATACTAGCTCACATGCCTAAGTTGCATGGCATTGGCATGCATGCTTTGCCTCTTGAATTGAGTATGATAGAGATTGAGCCTCACTTGTTTGTTTGATGTGCATCTCATTTGAAATCAAAGTGCATACTTGGTTTCTTGGGCCATCACACATTGGAATGCGCGATTGGTGGTCTGAGAATCGAGGACCATCCTTCTTTGAGTCATAAACATGATAAGGAGTGTGGTTGGTGCAAACATTGCTTGAAATACATTGCCATGCCATGTTTTGCCCTCTACTGCTGTCAAAATAGGTTGCTGCAAGAAACCTTGGCTGGCCGGCCATCTATACTGTCGACCGACCAATTATTGATGGCCGAGAGCTCAACAAATGGTCGATGACCATCTGGACATGGTCGGTGGGGTTTCCACTTGGTCGGTGGTGATCCACAGTGTCCATGGAGCACACCTTGGGATTTGTGCAATTTTCAGAGGAGTAGAGCAGGAAAAACAGAGGCAACTTGTGCATGGCAGTGGACTTTCGAGTGGAACCAAGCGCGCATGCATTGGGCCCTCTTTCCGAGGCTACTTTTAATGCTTAATTAGCTTAGTTAATTTGCTTAACTAGTTAATTGTCTGTAATATTTAATTAGCTTGATAGTTAGTTAAATTGTATTATTATTTCGGTCCCTTCGAGCGAGGGTAAATTTGTAATAAGTGTGGGTGCGTGTGTGCATGTCTTCCAATCCCCTACTTCTTTCTCCTTTTTACTTACCTGCTTTGATGGTTAGTATTAGGACATATTTAATTTAGCATCCTTATGCCATGCATGCGTGCATCATTCGTCAGTATTGCATGCATCGAGTTCGGCGCATCATACTAATTGCATAGTATTTCAAAT